AAATAATGAAAATAAAATAAAAAATAGTAAAAAATAAATTAAAAAAACGTTTTTTTTCTTGCCTGAGGCGCAAAAGTAGCTGGCTATGGCTATGCTCCCGTGATGCTCGTGCAGCTGCCGGCTGAATGTCAGACACTGCAGATGGAAAGGTGCAGGACACCCCATGTGCAACGTCGGCCACACAAGCACCACAGGAGGACAGGACGCCGGGACCTGTAGGGCGCACTGGAATGTAAGCCGGCCGACTCCCTGCGTTCAGGTGCGGGAGGGGGTGTGGAGCTGTATTGTAGTCAATGGCATCGCCCACATTGCGACCGCCCGCACTCGGAACGCAGGCACATTAGTGCCTGCATTCCGGTCCAGTGCGATCTGCAAAAATAGTGCTCGCAGAATTTTTGCGGATCGCACTGGACTGGAACACAGGCACTAATGCAGGCGATCGCACTGTGGGCGAGGGGCCTGCCTGCGGAGCCTGGCTGCGGTGCCATTGACTTCAATGCACCGCCACGCCCCCTCCCGCCCCTGAATGCAGGTGTTTTTTCGTTGGTAGATCTCAATGAGCTCGTCATTTGAAAAGTAGATCTCCAGACGAAAAATAGTGGGCGCCCCTGCCCTACATAGACTTACCTATGGCATAGATTTTCTACATTTTATCATAATGAGGTACAGTATGTATTACATATAAATTCTTAAAGATATAATAAGCCTTAGCCATCCATCATTTGAAATGTTGACTGGAATTCCTTCCAGACTATACAGTACATAGCTCACTCTCCCAGGCCAAGCGTTATTAGCACCTATGGAACCAATTAACTAAACAAAATACCCATTCATACTCTTAAACCTAGCAAGGAGGTAAATATATTGGGCCCATTTTTTAATTCCTTTTTATACAAGCCAAATCATAAGTTTGGGATAATATTTCAATATTCTTCAGTGATACTTTTGTAGGCCGGATCTGGTGTACTTTAACTCCTGGGAGTGCATAACTGGGTACATTGCCAGCTAAATAAGGGGACAAATCTCTGGCAGGCTTTAATTCTTCTAATACGAACTGAATCATACATTTAAGATTATTTTATATTCTTCACCAGATAGGTATCAAGTCATAATGTCCTGTAGATATCAACTGTCTCAGGTTCAAATTATGTTGGTATATGTAGGGGAAAGATTATGATATAACTTAGCAGCAGGTCAGCATAACAATTGAAAGCATTTTACTACATATGTTTGACAAGTCCAAAGTCCATAGTCCAAAAAATACTTGTTGATTCTACCAGAAACCTTGTCAGCTGATATCTTCCTGTTCCTTCTGCCTCTGCTGCGCTCATATTAGTAACATTGTTCCAAGCTCTCACTGCGGACTACAGAACACCTCTCGCATGTTATGGTGTTCTGTGGTCCTATCCTATGGTGACAATGCTGCTACTCCATAGATACATAGGATAGGAAGTGTGTTATGGAGGAGAAAGCTGCTTCAAAATGGCATTTATAATGTAACGCTGCTTCTCCATAGATACATAGGATAGGAAGTGCGTTATGAAGGAGAAAGATGCTCAAAATGGCGTTTATAATGTTACAGCTTAAAAAGAAAATAGCTGGTACTAATATATCCCTTTTGTATTCTCTCCTTACTTATATGATTGGGCAACTCTTGAGCAACTTTTGATTTATGAAGAAAGGAACCTGTGGCTGCCAGATGGCCAAGTTCCTCTTCTGCATGAGACCGCAAAGACCTGGCAAAGACCTGGCAAAGACCCTTCAGCAATATAGAAGTCACAAGACATTTATCTCATCTTATTTAATAATTTCTATTAAATCATGATCACAAGGATATTAACTCACTTGGTTTATTAAAACCTGACCCAACCTATATTTTACATGTAAGTTTGGTTATTTAATCTCAATACAAACCAAAGATAAAAACAGATCATTTTGTACATGCACCAGCATTGTATGCGTGTTTTGATCCTGATACTGCAATATTACCTCTGTAATAGAATTTGGTCTCACTGACTAATAAGAGGGAAAACATTTCTGTCTGCACAGCAAAATTCCAGGACAGTTACTGGCAGGATCACTAGGTGAAAAAAATGGAAAAGCCTAAAGTCCCCCCAAAAATTTTATGTAGCCTCCACATCTAAGGACTGGTAAGCTGCGATATATATTAGCTTTCAGGCTACCTGGGTTAGATAAACTTTAACCCTTTTGCTGCCAGAGCTGTTTTTTTTGTTCTGTTTTAATAGGTTTATTATCTTTGATTTTTTTTTCCACAGGTGTCTGATTTGCCTTTCTAAGAACCTCGCTCTGTATGAGTCAGAGATAGAGCCTCTACCACCAAACCTAAAGGACAAACTAATAAAGCTTCTGTGTGTCAAGGGGCTCCTCACAGACTCTAACATCAGGCGGGTAAGGAAGAATTTTTATTTGCAAAATACTTTTACTACTGTCATGAGAGATTCACCTAGGCTGCCATTGCAGATTCTGAAAATGTGAAATGCCTGGCTTTTTCTGACTTTAATTCATTCAGAGTAAAATCAGAACTGCTCAACTGCATTCTTGTATTAGGTCAGAGACTTGAACAGTAATAAAGCTAATGATTTGGCATGATAGCCACGGGACCTGTATGTTCACATGCGAGGTCAGTGTTGGAATGTTGGGAGACTCCATACGGCCTCTATATAGGTTTCCTTTAATCTATTTTTAATTTTTATTTCATCTCTCCTTTCCCTCCCTTTCCTAGACAGGAGCTCTGTGCTAAACACAGAGGGTTCACAGGGAACACTAACCAAAGATCAGCTTTTATTTTACACTATATTGCCAAAAGTATTGGGATACCCCTCCAAATCATTGGTGTTTCAATCACCTGGTCACCTGTGGCCAACACACCTGGCCACCGGTGTATAAAATCAAGCACCTAGGCATGCAGACGCTTCTACAAACATTTGTGAAAGAATGGGTCGCTCTCAGGAGTTCCAGTGAATTAGAGCGTGGTACCGTGATAGGTCACCACCTGTGCAATAAGTCCATCCGTGAAATTTCCTTGCTACTAAATATTCCACGGCCACCTGTTAGTGGTATTGTAATAAAATGGAAGCAACTGGGAACAACAGCCACAACATGGTAGGCCACGTAAAATGGCAGAGCGGGTCAACACATGCTGAAGTGCACAGTATGCCGAAGTCAACAACTAAACTCAGAACTACAGACCTCCAAACTTCTTGTGGCCTTCAGATTGGCACAACAACAGTGCATAGAGAGACTGGCGGAACGGACGGGGGAGGGGGAGGGGACAGCACTGACTGGCGGAACGGACAGGGGAAGGGGCGGGTACAGCTTGCTCTGCCTCTAGATAGGCAGAGCCAGCTGTCAGTCACGCAGCTGGGCGGATCCCGGCACAATTAGCGGGATCCGCTTCAGCTGCGACGTCTCAGTATACCGCGAGCAGCTGCTCGCTGTATACTGCGGCGTCTCAGTATACAGCGAGCTACAGCTTGCGGTATACTGATCCTAGGGTGACGGTAGGATGCTAGTTTGTGTCCTCCTGTTACCCTAAGGAGAACTATGGGGAAAAGCCTTAACCCCATAGTTCTCCTTTAAAGTTCATGTGAGTGTAAAGGCAGGTGTCCCAATACTTTTGGCAATATAATGTATATAGCATAGGATTTCTAGGATACTTAACAGATCAGAACAGAAGGAAGTAAGGATGTGCAGTCAAATCCAAATGTTTTCTTGCAGTGGGGCCCCCTCTGCACTGCAAGAGTTAAATGCTCATTTATGTCTAGGGGGAACAGTAAAAAGCAGTTTTACTTATTCCTTGCTCCCACGGCCTTTTTCACAGCTAGGCAACCGGTCCTTTTCACCACTCTGACGGAAGCAGACACTTTGATACCATCACTTACAGTGCAGGACCAGCAGTCTTGCATTGTAAGTGAGGACGCCAAGGGACATCCTACTACATGAAGTGTGGCAGGAAAGAGAAGAGCGCTGGCTGCTGGGGCAGCAAGGGATACGGTAAATAAAACTGCTTTTCAGTGTTCTAGACAAAAACGAGGCATTTAAAGGAGAACTCTGGGCAAAACTTGTATTAACCCTTGCAGTTGGGCTACCCCTGCACTGCAAGGGTTAAATGCTTGTTTTAGCCTAGGGTAGCCTAGGGTAAAAAAAAGAAAAGTTATACTCACCTGAAGCTCCAAGCCGGCTTCTTCTTAGACCGACCCTTCCAATGTCTCTCCTCCTCCTCCTCCTCCTCAGCAGTCTAAGGTTGTCTAAATCATTACGTCCTATACACAGTGTATAGATGTAAGGATGCTGAGGAACATTCCAATGCTGCAACGTAGAAGGAGACAGGCTTCAGAGACCAGAGCAGCAGGCAGCCAGTTCAGCGGTTCGAGTATAAATTTTTATTTTAGCACTTAGACAAAAACGAGTAGTTAACCCTTTGCAGTGCGGGAGTAGCCCCATTGCAAGGGTTAATAAAAGTTTTGCCCAGAGTTCTCCTTCAAGCCTTCAAGCAAAACGGATTTAAGTTTGTTAACGATATTTACCATTTTATAAAGGTGCATCCTTCGTGCCTATGTTTGTTCTGTCTTCTCTGTTCTTCCTACTGTTACATAATATCATTCCTTACATATAGGTTCCTAGTAGGGATGCATCGATACCGGTATTTTCGGTATCGAGTACCGATATAATTTTTTTCGGTACTCGCCGATACCGAGTACAGGAAGTCCCGTTCAGGAAGCCAGGCGGAGTGTAATGACTCGCCACCTGGCTTCCTGATTTGCCGGGAAGCCGGGCAGCGTGTAAAGACTCGCCACCCAGCTTCCCGAGTAGCAGGGAAGCCGTCCCCATGCATCTCATCGCTAGGTGCTCCCTTGTCATGAGGCAACGAGGGAGCATGAAGCCGGCTTCCCAACCAATCAGAAAGCAGGGCGTCGCATCATTACACGCTGCCCGGCTTCCTGATTGGCCAGGAAGCCAGCTCCGTGCTCTCTATTCACAAATGACTAGAGAGCATGGAGCTGTCTTCCCGGCCAATCAGGAAACCAGGCAGAGTGTAATGACGCGCTGCCCGGCTTCCTGATACCGGAAGTATTGGGCTAAGCATCGGAGCATTTGGCCCAGTACAAGTACTCGCCCAAATACTCGGCACCGATACTAGTATCGGTATCGGTGCATCCGTAGTTCCTAGCAATTGATAGTCAAGCCATTAGAGTGTATTTGCAAACTAAGAGAACAATATATTGGGCAACTTTACAACTTCATCTTCTTCCTGTTGAGATTGTTATACTATTGCGTATTACCTTTTGTCCTTGGGCATAGCCGGTAAGACAGACATAATTCATTGTGTGTAGGTAAGCACAGATGTTTCTGTAGAATCATTTATTGCATCATCAAAAGCCCTTACATAGCGGCACAGTAAAAAACAAGGGAACCAATGAACGTTTAACATCTGAGAATAAAAACCCCAGCACCTACTCTCTTATCTGCTTTACAAGATGCCGCACTCCTGTAGTTCTAGATCATGAGATGTTCTCTCCTCTGACACTAATTCACATGTTAAAACTAATGAGACGTACAATATATTATGTTATGAAGCACTAACAAGCTAGTTCAAGGCAGTTTCAACTGCTTGTATAGATCATTATCCGTACATGATAAGAATGCCTTATCCTCTGTGTTTGTTCAGGATAATGGGGAAATGTTCAGTGGTTAAGGGCTTATTTTACACCAAGTGCAGAGCAGGTGCAGAGCTGTTACAGAACGCATCAAAATTGCATCCAATGTATTCCAATGGTATTTTGTGCTCTAGTCCACACCACAGAGTTCAGTTGCAGAGCATGTGGAAAAACTGCAGCATGCCCTATTTTTTCTGCTAAGGAATGCACCAAAACGCATGCAAACGCATCAAAAATGCATGCAAATGTCCAGAAATGCACTGAAAACCCATTTTAGTTTTTTTTTAAAAAGTCCTGGAGCGCAGCAAAAATGCAGAAACTCGTGCACATCTGGTCTGCATTTGGTGTGAAGAAGCCCTCCAATGTTTTGATTTCTGCAGTCCAAGATCCTGTTAAAGTGAACCTTTCAGTAACCTTCCTGTCATTCCACAATCTACAGCAGCAGTATCATATTTTTCAAAAATGTTTAAACTTTGGTAATTTAAAAGCCATTCTTGAGCATCAGTCAGTGACTTTGTCTAGGCTGAGATGAAGTAATTGTTCTGGTACAGGCAGGAAGAAGTATTTCCTCAGTTTCCTCTCTCAGTGATCTGACTGTACATTGTAACTTTTTAGCAAGTTACAGTGAGAAGTTGCAGCAGAGCCTGATCTGTGTCAGACAGTTGTAAAAACAGCCCAGAGCCACACAGGCCCCAGGATTTACAGGATTGTGTTGTCTCTGAGCCGGCATCTCAGTCCAGGAAGTAGATGTGACCCTGGATGATGCCTGAACAAAGATGACTCCTTCCTCATGGAGAGAAGAGCAGATGGAGGCATTGTCCGGGGAGGTATTGTGATCTAGGTCCACTATTATGGGATATTGTTTACTTACAAATGTACACTCTCAGAGTCATATTTGGTCTCTGGCTGCTTTTTAAACACTTTTCTCTGTATTGATGGCGAAATACTTTTATCCTCTTTTTTTTATTTTTTTATGAAAAGCATTAATGCGGTCACATGAAAAATATAACTGTAGCACTTTATCTGCTCCCTGAGTCACTTCCCTGCTTATTGATATCAGGAAATGTTGCTGATATTCTGTCCCATTAGCAGGCTGGAGGTGAAACAATAACACAGGAACCTGCAGAGCTGAATCAGGAAACAGGTTTTATACTGACTTGGCTGTGTAGTGTAGTAGAGGTGTGTGTGTGTGTGTGTGTGATTTACAACGTAGAAAATAGTAAGTCCCTCTGCACTCCTCACAGCGCTCCCGGCAAGTAAAACTGTCTGATTATATATACACCTGTGTATGGTGAGGATTGGCTGGTGTGCCATTTAAATGCAGGAAACCCTGCTTAGTGGGATGAGGAGGCTTAGGTTTAGAGTGAATATAGACTATATGAGAACATAGAGCAGAGAGATATCAGAGAAGAACTGAAGGCGGGGATGAGATATGTTGTAGGGAATGTAGGTGATGCTCTTGGGGTGCCTTGATTATAGTGAGGGACAAATCGATCCTATCCCCTTCGTGGCAGGAGATGTACACTGTACTTCCCTCCTTCAAGTGCCCAAATGACTGCTCATGTACACTATATGTCACACCACGACGTGCCCAAATGACTGCTCACGTACACTGTACGTCCCGCCTCGAAGTGCACAAATGACTGCTCACGTACACTGTACGTCCCGCCACGAAGTGCCCAAATGACTGCTCACATACACTGTACGTCCCGCCACGAAGTGCCCAAATGA